TTAGAAACTATATATTAAGACAAAATAGCAGAAGTGCAAGACAATAGTTTGCATCGCAAACACTTTTACACACAAAAGCTTTCACACACAGAAGCTTTTACAGACAGACACTTTCACACACAGACCCTTTTACGCACAGACGCTTGCAGACACAAAAGCTTTTACACACAGAAGCTTTTACACACAGACGCTTTTACACAGACACTTTTACACACAAAGCTTTTACCCACAGAAGCTTTTACAGACAGACGCTTTTACACACATACGCTTTTACACAGATGCTTTGACACACATACGCTTTTACACAGATGCTTTTACACACAGACATTTTTACACACTGACACTTTGACACACAGACACTTTTAACAAAGAGCCTTTTACACACAGGAGCTTTTACACACAGAAGCATTTACACGCAGATGCTTTTACACACAAAAACTTTTACACACAGTCAAACAGAAGCTTTTACACATGGACGCTTTGACACACAGCCACTTTTACACACAAACACTTTTACATACAAACACTTTTACACACAAGCACTTTTACACATAGACGCTTTTACACGCAGAAGCTTTTACACGCAGACGCTTTTACACACAGAAGCTTTGACACACAAACGCTTTTACACACAAACGGTTTTACACACAAGCGCTTTTACACGCAATCACTTTTACATACAGACGCTTTTAGACACAGAAGCTTTTACACACAGGCCGGCCCATGTTTACGCAGTCACAGTGAAGTCATTGTTGTCGTGGCCACCTCAGCAATCCTTTTACACAGATGCACTTTTACACACAAACACTTTTACATACAAACATCTTTTCACAGAAACACACTTACACACAAACCCGTTTACACAGAAACACTTTTACACACAGAAGCCTTTACACACAGACACTTTTACACAGATTCACTTTTACACACAAACACTTTTACACACAAACATCTTTACACAGAAACACTCTTACACACAAACCCGTTTACACACAAACCCTTTTACACACAGACACTTTTACACACAAAAGCTTTTACACACAAATCCTTTTACACAGATGCACTTTTACACACAAACACTTTTACATACAAACATCTTTACACAGAAACACACTTACACACAAACCCGTTTACACGGAAACACTTTTACACACAGAAGCCTTTACACACAGACACTTTTACACAGATTCACTTTTACACACAAACACTTTTCCACACAAACATCTTTACACAGAAACACTCTTACACACAAACCCGTTTACACACAAAGACTTTTACACACAGAAGCTTTTACAAATAGACACTTTTACACACAGACGCTTTTACACACAGAGGCTTTTACACACAAACACTTTTACACACAAACATCTTTACACAGAAACACTCTTACACACAAACCCATTTACACACAAAGACTTTTACACACAGAAGCTTTTACAAACAGACACTTTTACACACAGACGCTTTTACACACAGAGGCTTTTACACACAAACACTTTTACACACAAACACTTTTACACGCAGAAGCTTTTACACACAGACGCTTTTACACACAGACGCTTTTACACACAGACGCTTTTAGACACAGAAGCTTTTACACACAGAGGCTTTTACACACAAACACTTTTACACACAAACACTTTTACACACAGACGCTTTTACACACAGACGCTTTTACACACAGACGCTTTTACACACAGAAGCTTTTACACACAAACACTTTTACACACAAACACTTTTACACACAGAGACTCTTATACACAGAGACTCTTATACCCAGATGCTTTTACACACAGACGCTTTTACACACAGACACGTCCGGCACAAGTAAAGTCGCAATTTTACTTCAGTTTTTGCGCATCGACCGTCATTTCGTGCGAAAGGGTTGCTCGGGGGCAAATAAAATCGCAATTTTACCGCAGTTTTTGCGCATCGACCCTCATTTCGTGCGAAAGGGTTGCTCGGGGGCAAATAAAATCGCAATTTTACCGCAGTTTTTGGCGATCGACCTTCATTTCGTTCGAAAGGGTTGCTCCGGCACAAGTAAAATCGCAATTTTACCGCAGTTTTTGGCGATCGACCCTCATTTCGTGCGAAAGGGTTGCTCCGGGACAAGTAAAATCGCAATTTTACCGCAGTTTTTGGCGATCGACCCTCATTTCGTGCCAAAGGGTTGCTCCGGGACAAGTAAAATCGCAATTTTACCTCAGTTTTTGGCGATCGACCCTCATTTCGTGCGAAAGGGTTGCTCCGGAGCAAGTAAAATCGCAATTTTACCGCAGTTTTTGCCGATCGACCCTCATTTCGTGCGAAAGGGTTGCTCCGGGACAAGTAAAATCGCAATTTTACCGCAGTTTTTGCCGATCGACCCTCATTTCGTGCCAAAGGGTTGCTCCGGCACAAGTAAAGTCGCAATTTTTCCTCAGTTTTTGGCGATCGAACCTCATTTCGTGCGAAAGGGTTCACGTTTCGTAACTCCCCGCCGGCACCACCCTCGGCCTAAAGAGAGAAAGATAAAGAGGCGAGAGAGAGAAAAGGGAGAGAGAAAGGAGAGAAGATGTGAAGATGAGAAGATGTGAGAGAAGGTGTGAAGATGAGAAGGTGTGAGAGAAGGTGCGAAGAGGAGCAGATGTGAGAGAAGATGTGAAGATGAGCAGATGTGAAGATGAGCAGATGTGAGAGAAGATGTGAAGATGAGCAGATGTGAAGATGAGCAGATGTGAAGATGAGCAGATGTGAGAGAAGATCTGAAGATGAGCAGATGTGAAGATGAGCAGATGTGAAGATGAGAAGGTGTGAGAGAAGGTGTGAGAGAAGGTGTGAAGATGAGAAGATGTTTTACAGACCCCCACTATTGGAAGAACCCTGCGCTCAGACGCTCTCGGGAAAAAATGTATATATATATATATGTATATATATATATTATTTTTCTATATTTTTATATTTATATATATTCATAGCGTATGTATTTTTCACTGACATATGTATATATATATATACGAGATATTTTCACATCCTCTCAACCGTGTCTGGGCGCCTGTTAGCACCAGCGGGTCGCTTGTAGATCTAGTTCAATCGGTTACAAGTCGTGACCAAAGTTTTGCTCATGTGGCAAACCCCAGCCAGTAGGTTCTGTTGGCCTCAATCATGTGTGGGCCAGAACGGACCAGAAGGGAGCAGGAAGTGGCGCAAGCAACGTGGGCAACATGATTTTTTTGCCGCTGTTCACTATCACAACAATGTCATACGTACAAGTTCACTTGTCACAGCTTGTAAGTTTCAGAGCGTCGCAAAGTCTTCCGCCCAACGAGGCAATTCTGATCTCCTTGTTGGGCCCGGAAGAGAGCCGCAAGAGGAGGAGCACTTTTCTCACGAATCTTTCCAAAGCAGCAGAAGAAGGAGCCGTGGCTCTTGCATTGCTGCTTGGCAAGCAAGACGGAGTTGTGCTCTGCTGCTTCCTGAGATGAAGCAAATGCTGCGGTCTCTCCCGCTGCCCCCATGAGGGAGGAAAAAGTACAATTCCAGAGCTATGTTGCTACAAGTCCACTAAGCACCTGCACGGCCATTCGCCATCGTTTGCCAGCGTCCCAAACTGCCTTCCGCCTAATCATCATCACCATCATCGTCATCAGCATCACCATCATTATCATCATCACCATTGTGAGAGTGAGGTCATTTGGACCCTTGCACCATGGTTCCCACGTGTGGCTTTTGGTTCAAATCTACCCTGACTTAGGGCCCTTGAGCTGTTGGTTGCAAAAACGGTCCCTAGCGCAATTCAAACTGGTAGCGGAGCTGGTTGCCGGAGAGTTCACTCCCGACATCCGGACTCTCACGGTGATAGCCTAGGTCCGAAACTTGTGTGTGTTTGTTGTGTGTAAGTGTGTAACGCGGAACAACCTGAAGAGTCGCAGAAACCCCGTCGAACGCAATGTCGATGGCCGGCCTGAGGTACTTCCCAAGCAGTCCCTCAGGACCATTGGAGACAAAGAGTGGAGCCTACGTGTATAGTGGAGATCCATCCCACTTTCACGAATGGCAATTCAGAACCCTTCTTCGTGTAGAACTCTGCAAGAAGAAGATGGAACAGAAGGCCAAGGAAAAGGCCAAGGAAGCATCCAGTTCCCCGGTCAGCCCTGCTAGCAGTGGCCGGAGGAGACGTGAGCCGACAGAAGCGGCTGAGCAAGAGGATGCTGAAGAGACTGCTGCTGAAGTGTCGCCTCAAGCCCCTTCAGGTGAGCCTTCAGCTGGACTTGGTGGTTTTGCTTCACCCCGTAGTCAAGAGGAGCACGATCTGTTGGACGTGTCCCCATATGTGGAGCTTGTCACTAAGGTCATGGAAGGTCTTCGAGGTGATGCATTTCTGGTGGCAAAAGACTTGGGTCTGAATGCATTGATGGATGTTGGACCTCCTACCGGACTGGAATTGCTGGTGGAGAAAATCAAGGAGCATGTGTTCCCTTTGAGGTCACATGAAGCAAGGGAGCTGTTCAGGCTTGGACAACAGGCCAATGGCCCCCTCAGCCGACAGTCTGCAGAGACGATCTTGTCCTTCATTGGAAGGAGGAAACGATGGTGGATTCAGCTGAAGGAGCTCGACCCAGAGATGGCAATTTCCACCCAGATGCGAGCTGAGCTTCTCCTTGAGACATCAGGCCTAAGCCGTCAGGAACAACTCATGGTCAAGACTGCTTGCCCAAAGCCTAGCTTTGAGGGATACAGTGAGATCTTGTTGGAACACCATGGAAGGATCCATTTGAGGGATTCGAGAAACTTGGCCCCTCCTTCAAGGCCCTTTCAACCGAAAGGAGCAGGAAAGAACAAAGGAAAGGGGTGGTATCGATCAGGCTACATTGCAGGTGAGTACAACGACCATGGAGGTGATGAAGCAGCAGATGATGGAGATGACTACAACTGGAATGAGGACTACGACAGATGATTGTGACTGGGTATCAGATGATGACCTTGGCATTGCCCTGACAGCCATTGCAGCCTGTGACATGGACGAGACTTCAACAGAAGGTCTTGAGGAACTTGGAGAGGCATGCCAACACCAGTTGCAGGCCTACGCTGCTGTAGGACGTGTCAAGGGAAAAGGACCCTTCAAGGGATCAGGGAAAGGAAAAGACAAAGGCAAAGGAAAGGGCAAGAGGGTTGTGAGGACCCAATTGTCCATCGAAGACAGGAAAGTCAGACTTGCCAGTCTGAAGAAGAACAGCCGATGCCTACGATGTGGAGGCTATGGACACTGGGCAGGTGACCCAGAATGCAAAATGCCAAACAAGAAGCCGAATGCCACTGCATCAGCCCCAGGCCAAACGTCGAGCCAAGGAAAAGTTGGCTACCTGGCCCTGAGTGATTCCTCAGGAGATGATGACTTGCCTTGTGTGGTCATTGAAGCAGGAACCAAGAAGAAGTCGTGTGGGTATATCGGTTACAGAACACCACAGGGATCACCAGCAAAGGCCAAAGCTAGATCCCCCTTACGACCTTCTCCTGTTTCAAGTGATGGCAGTTTTTCCCATGTGTCCCATGCATCCCATGCCTCAGGTCCAAGAGTGCCTAGGATGCCCAACTTTCGTGCCAGACGAGAGAACCCAATGGACGACATGAGTCTTCCACCAGGGAGCGATCATGTCTTCACGTTTGGGCAGCACAAGGGGTACACGTACCATGAGGTGTTGATGCAGTACCCAGGGTATTATGTTTGGGGTCGCAATGAACCAGGAACGTCTAGGATCCTGAACCAGTTCTTGGATTGGGTTGATATGTACTATGATGTTGACCATGGAACCCATCAAGTAACCCCAAAAGCAGCCCCAGAAGCAGTGGAGCCACGACCAAGCCCTGTGCCTGGATCGAAGCACAAGACTGCAGCCAGAAAACCTCCAAACCCTCCTGTGGAGATCCCTGGCCACGTCTGTAGGGACTTCATGAGGTGGGGAAGCAATGCCTATGTTGAGAAAAGGACATATAGGGATTGTGGTAAGGTCACAGTTACCCCAAAGAACCCTACATATGCCCATGACCCTGAAACATGCACACATGCAGTCACTGACAAAAGGGGATCGACCAAGAGCACCAGCAGAACGTTTTGTCTGCTGTGTGGAACCCATGTGGACGAGATGCCACGTGATGAAGGGAAGCGCAGGGAAGCCTTGGGAAGGGCTGTGAGTCAGTCTGCTGCACCCTTGGTTGACCTGGCAGAAGATCTGTTGAAGTATGAAAGGTTGGAACTCCTTTTGAACACCGAAGATACAGTGGCTGTGATGCGCCAATTTCAACATGACTGTGAAATTGGGTTGGAACATGACCACCACATGCGCGCCAGTGTCATGGTTGACATCCTGCGCAACGCAATTGAGGCCGTGATGGAAGCCAGAGAGACGACCCATGCAGCCTACATGGCACTCTCCCCTTTGGAGGACGAGCTGGAATGTGATGCACTTCCAGTGGTTGATGTTGTTAATGATGAGCACGTTTGGGGAGTGTTGGACGAGGGTTGCAACTCAACTGTTTGTGGACATGATTGGATGGAATCATGTAAGACCAAGTTGAAAAAGATTGGTTTTGATGCACCCATGCAGTCAGATGAACAGAAGGCATTCAAAGGTCTTGCAGGCAATGTGCGCCCCAAAGGTCGATACAGAATCCCATTTGCACTGGAACCTGAAGGTGGTAAGAAGTTGCCAGGTGTTTTGGAAACGTATGTGGTTGTGGAGCCTGGTGATCCTACACCTTTGTTGCTGTCACAACATGCTCAAGCAGCATTGGGTTTGGTGAAGGACATGGCAACATCCACATGCACACTTGGTAGGAATGGACCCACCTTGAAGTTGCACAGAACCAAGGATTCAGGACTTTTGTGTGTTTGCCTTAGCAAGGGTTTGATCAACATGTCGTTCAGACAAACTCCAACGCAGATCAGGGAGTTGAGAACCCCTGACAACATGGCATATGTCAGCACCACTCCTCGCACCATGGCCCCTGCTGGACAGCAAGTGCTGATCTACACTGCAGGGAAGGATTTTTGCCCTCCTTTGGACGCCTACTGCAACGATCCATCAGCGCGCAACTTGGAGAGACTCTGCCAGAACTTTGGTTTGGGTGACAGAGAAGTCTTTGTGGTTGACACCCTGGAGCTGGGAGACCCTCATCATGACAAGAGTTTGAGGAGTCACATTGGAACTCACCCTGACATCTTGGCAGGGCTTGCGCGCAATGACTGGACGATGCAGGTCATGCATGCTTTGGTGAGGCGAGTGAAGCAGGCAGTTGATGACAACAAGTCAGTTGCAGTGGTAGCCTACTGCAGGAGGAATCGGCACAGGAGTGTGGCCCTGGGCTGGTTGGTTTCATGTGCCTTGGAGTTCTTGCAGATCAGTTGCAGTTTGACACATGCAAATGCTCGAACCAGTTGGCAGCAGATGTCAGGTGGATGTCGTGGCAGATGTGAGCACTGTCAACATGAGAACACAGATGCCAAGACCGAAGCAGAGGATCATGCAGGGAAGTTGTGTGATTTAGCTCGTTGTGAGATGAACGAGAAGGACATGAGTGTGTTGGATGATGTCTGTGAGGTGAGGGGTATTGGATTGGCACCAGTACCAAAGGCAGCACCCTCAGCACCAGCACCGAGAGCGCCAAGACCAAGAGCGCCTCCTGAGCCATCGAGAGTATCTTCAGCGAGTGCTGCAGCACGACCTGCCCCTGCAACACCACCACCGATGACACCACCAAGAAGATCATCACCGAGGAGAAGGACACCAACACCACCGAGAAGATCGAGGTCTCCACCCAGAGAGGGACAGCAGACAGAGGCCTTGATTGCAAGGATCAGTGAGCTGACCTCAGTGGTATCTCAGTTGGTTGCTGAGAGAGACCAAGCACGAGCCTCAGCATCTTCAACCTACAGGAGTCGACGAAGCAGAAGCGACTCCAGAGACTCGAGGAGGAGAGGACGATCACGATCTCCAAGGGAAGGTCGCTACGGAGAAGCGCCTTGGCGTCGAGAGGTGTCATATCGACGACCAAGGACGCCACCGAGACCACCTCCAAGACGAAGTCCATCACCACTTCCTCGTCGACGACCTCCAGCAAGACAAATGAGCGTAGAATCAGTGATGGCTGGTTGGCCAAGTCATTTGGACTTGCCTGCCAGGGAGGATGATGGTACCTCCTGGAACAAGCGAGTTGATGCCCACGGTCTTTCTGTGGAGCTGTTGGATACCATGTGGTATGCAGCTGCTGTGGACCACCAGAGTGGCTACAAGCAGAAGTGCTTACGCTGGATTGGGCCTTACTTTCCAGGCACAACAGCTGAAGAGAGAAAAGTGCAGATCGTGGAGCAGAACAACATGGCTGCGAACGTGAAAGTCGCAGTGCTTGGGCCAGACTACATTGGGATGTGCTTGCAAGATGAATCATCCAGTGTAAAAGGTCTCAGGAAATCTTGGGCATCACCTTCAATGAGGGTTGAAGGATGGAGTGTCACCATCTATGACTACATCGACAGAAGTTGGACTGTTGATGGAACGTATCCAGTGGAGTCAGAACTGGAGTATCAGCATGAGTCCGCTGGGAGGATCTTGGTGTATGCTCCCACAAGGGAAGCTGAGGACACACCTCCTGATGACCCAGGTGATGGAGGTAACAACGGCGACAACGGTGACAATGGAGATAATGGAGATGACAACAACGAAGGTAATGGCCATGAAGATGGACAGGATGACCAGAAGGAAAATGATGAAGTCGAAGAGATCACAGATGAAAGCACGCACCTTGCTGTGGCAGAGGATGGTGGGGTAGATGAAACCATGGAACCCCAAGAACCCATGGATGTGGTTGAAGAAGTTCCCACAGCACATGCTGCAGTAACTGTCCCAAAAGAGGAAATCCCTGAACAGAAAACCCCTGAACTTAAGGCTTTGGGAGTAGTTAAGGGGACCCCTGAAAAACTTGCAATGCCGCACTTTGCCAAGGCCTTGACGATGCCTCCCAACAAATACATCGATCTCAACAGCGACGACGACAATGATCCAAGTGGAGCTACTGGATCAGAAGCAGTTGCGACTGCAGTGAAGCTAGAGGTGAAAACAGAGCATAACCCATGTGCGCTGTTGGGAGCCTTGATGTCCAGTGAGTCAAGGGTAATGGACAAAAAGGACAAAAGTGTGGTAACCTCAGGGTTGAAAATCATGCAGCATGAGGACGAAGTCATGAGGGCTATGGTTGGGATTTCTCATTTGCAAGAATCGGTTCACATGTTGGTTTTGAAAGATCCCACTGTCAATCTGTCCAGTTGGAACGATGTCCATGTCATGACTGTTGACCCCAGTTGGGAAGACACATGCAAGAAGCTTGCAGCTAGGGTCTCATCCCAGAGCCCTGGACTGGTTGCAGTGTACATGGAAAGCCCCACTTGGAAGCAGATCCAAGATGTCCATTGTGAAGCCGACATGAATCAATGCACGGTTGTGGTTTTCACCCCATACCTCGAGAGCCTGGTTGACAAGGGTTATTGCTTTGGGGGTGATTTGTGCCTGTTTGTTGCAGGAGACCGCAATGATGCACTGTTCAGGCTGGCAGTGGACTGGAACGAGGGTCAAGAGAGCATGGCACCAAGGACATTCCAAGACGCATGCAACATGGAGTTTCATGAGCTGTTGAAAGGTCATTCAGAGAAGCTTTACCTAGATAGGTACGCACAGACATGTTTTGTTGGTGAAGCAACGGATGAGCTGTCTGGATCGGATGACCAGATGCTGAATGATCCTGACAAGCCCCTGACTCCAGCAGAGAACGAGCAACTCATTTTGGATCAACTTGCAATCCCTGGAGCCCCATTGGATGAGGTCCAGAGGAGAGCGCAATGGAGAGCACTGCCCACACGAACTAGGATTGCCATCCGACGTTTGCACAGGCAATTTGGCCATCCAACACCTGCTACCTTGAAGAACATCCTGAAGGCAGGAAGGGCATCTCCTGAGCTGATCGAGGCAGCTCGATTGGTGAGGTGCCAGGCATGTGAGGACTCAGCAAAACCCCCAAGGGATCACCCAGTAGGAAGTCATTTCAACTTTGAGTTTAACTCTATGTTGGGTTTTGACGTTTTGGAAATGAGGGATCATTTGGGGAACAAGTACTCAGTGATGTCGATGGTTGACATTGCAACGGGTTTTCACATGTGCGAAGTTGTCAAGGAAGGTGGAGGACAGCCTACTTCAGAGGCATGTGCCAAGGCATTGATGACCAAGTGGATTGCTTGGGCTGGCTGGCCAAAAGCATGCATCATGGATCGAGGCCTTCACAACCGAGGCGCAGTGACCAAGATGCTAGCCAGTCATGGGTGTAATATCCAGTTTGCCCCTTTGGAAACCCCAGCTGCGATAGGAAAGGTAGAACGTCACGGGGGTATCCTAAAAGCAATGGTCAGAAAGGTGGTTGCTGATACTGAAACAGCAGGACTTGCAGACTTTGAGATGTTGCTGCAAGAATGCACATCCACAAAGAACAGCATGCAGAGAACAAATGGCTATAGTGCAAGCCAATGGGTTTTAGGAAAACAACCACGCATGCCAGGCTCAGTCACAGACATGTCAGAGAGCACTGACTTGGGCGTGATTGAAGCGAAAACAGATCCAACTGTGGCGTACCACAAGGTGCACGCCGCAAGAATGAGTGCACAGAGAGCCTTTGTCCATTTGGACACAAGCAACAGGGTTGCACGTGCGCTGACACGCAATGCAGCGCCCCAGCACAAAGAGTACCTAGTAGGTGATTTGGTTTGTTATAGGAGGGACGCACAACAGGGTGGCACAACATGGAGCACAGCATCCCGTGTGATTGGCCATGATCCCCACAATGGTTTATGGCTGTTGCACGAGGGAGTCCCAATTTTGTGTAGCACATCACGTGTGAGGTCTGCCAACGAGAGCGAGGCCTTGGCTTTCTCCATCTTGAATGGGGAATCTGTGCTGCCAGATGCTATTGTGTCCGGCCCTCAACAACAGAAGTACATCCATCTTGAAGATGAACAACAAGGACCAAAGTTCCCAAACCCAGTTGGGGTCTTTGATGATGTGGATGACGACGCCCCTCAGGGGAGCAGTGCGCCGTCAAGAGCCCCAGCAACACCAGGAAGACGGTCGAAGACCAAAGATAAGACGGGCCAATCAGAACGAGCTGGCCCGTACACACGAGCCGCTCCAATGACCCCAGGTGCATTGCCTGGTGACACGATGATGGCCGAGCTAGTGGACGGAGACCACTGGCGCATTTCAAAAGATGTCGCAATCAGAGTCCATACACAGCCCAGGAAGCGAGAGTACAACACGATGGTTGATGGTGAACTGCCAGAAGGTTTTCAGGACTCAGGTTTTGCAACAGTGAGAAAGATCTTCAGGAATGGGGATGTAAAAACAAACGAAACGGGTAAAGTAAGTAACGTAGAAGAAACAGACGCTTGGACCGGTTTCACCGTTTTTCGAAGGGCACAAGACCCATTCGAGCGCGCGCGAGCCATGGATCTGGAACTGGACTTGGAACCTCTGAGGTCCTTCATTGCACAGCGCATTGTGGAGGCCGAGGAGACGGTTCAATCTGGGAAGGTGGCCAAAACAGTGGACATCAGAAAGGTCTCACCAGAGATCAGGACCTTGATGATGGAACCACGAACTGCAGAGTGGGAGAAGTACAAGAGCTTCAACGCTGCAATTCCCATTTGGGGAAAGGAGCTTCAGAATCTGCTGGATGAAGGTCACAAGGTGATACCATCTAAATGGGTTGAAACAGATAAACATGAACACCTTAAGGGAACCCCAGAATATAGTCCCAAGATGAAAGCTCGACTGGTGATTTGCGGTAACTTCGAAGATGTCAGTCGCGAAGATGTGAGGTGCGATGCTCCGACGGCAGATGCGGAGTCCCATTGCCTCCTGGCGAGTTGGGCAGCTTCGGAGAGGTTGCGTCTGAAGGGAAGTGACGTGACAAATGCCTATTTCCAAGCGAAGCCACTGACAAGGTTGCTACTGATGAGGCAGCCGACAGGCGGACTTGGAGATCCAGATGTGCCTGCAGAAGCGTGTTTGCTCTGTAGGGTGCCCATCTATGGTTCAATCGATGCAGGTAGAGGTTTCTACTTGCGCATGGATTCAGAAGTGAAGACAGCAGGTATGAAGGCGTCAAAGGTGATGCCTGCCCTGTACTATCATCAGGACGAAAATGGTGAATTGGATGCGATGCTTTGCACCCACGTAGATGACCTATTGTTTGCCCACAAGCCAAGTGGAGCAAAGGTGATCGAGGAGATCCTTGGAAAGTTCTCAGTCGGAAAGACTGAAGAAGGAAGCTTCAGGTACTGTGGACGTCGGTTTACCCAGCACGATGATTTCACGATCGAAATCGATGCTGAGGAGAATACCAGAGGAATCAAACCAATTTGGATTGACAAGTCCCGTAAGGGAACTGACGTTGTCACAGAAAAGGAGCTGACAAGCCTCCGGTCAGTGACGGGATCACTGGCGTGGGTAGCACGGTACTGTCGTGCAGACTTGGCGTACAAGGTGAATGAGCTGCAGAGACTTTGCAATTCAAAGGCCACAGTGTCAGACTTGAAGCTGGCAAACAAGGCTGTTGAGCTGGCGCGCCAGAATCAGAACATGAAGCTGGTGTACAAGGCCAATTGGATTGACTGGAAGGATCTTGCAGTGGTGACGTACAGCGATGCGTCATTCGCAAATGAACCTGGCTGCAAGTCGCAGCAGGGCAGGATCCACTATCTAACTGCAGCTTCGCGTTTAACGGAGAAGGACCATAGCATCCATGTGATCGGGTTCGCTTCGTCAACATTGAAGCGAGTGTGCCGAGCAACTTTGCAGGCCGAGTCGTACGCACTTCAGAGTGCGGTTGAACACGGTGACCGCTTGAGATGTGTCCTGTGTGAATTGACCGGCAAGTTGGCCACGATGACTGACTGGCACGAACAATGCCAAATGAAAATGAAACACGTTTGGGTGTCTGACTGCATGAGTTTAGTCGAGCATCTAAACGCAGAAGTGCCGAAAAAGGTTTTTAAGACAAGAGACTCGGAATCGAGCTCGCGGCACTGCGACAGTCATTGTGGACCGGGAATGGCCAGCGGACTTCCCAGGAGTTTATGCCCCACGGGGACGAACTTGTTTGGACGGAAACGTCCAAAATGTTGGCCGACGCTCTGACTAAGTCAATGCGTCCGGATCTACTGGTCAAAGTTGTACAGACTGGCCGTAATACATATGCATGAAACATATCAACACGATGTGTGGCCTGAGCCACCAGCTGGAATAGCCCGCTGGGAAATCTGTAAAGACCTGGTAGCCTGAACTGCCACGTGAGAACATGTAGATAAGACGGGTGTGAGAGTGAGGTCATTTGGACCCTTGCACCATGGTTCCCACGTGTGGCTTTTGGTTCAAATCTACCCTGACTTAGGGCCCTTGAGCTGTTGGTTGCAAAAACGGTCCCTAGCGCAATTCAAATCCATCATCATCGTCGTCGTCATCGTTATCATCGTTATCATCATCATCACCATCATCATCATCATCACCATCATCATCATCATCAGCATTGCCAACATCATCCTCATCATCACCATCATCATCATCAGCAGCAGCATCATCATCCTCATCGTCATCACCATCATCATCATCCTCACCATCATCATCATCGTCATCATCAACATCAACATCAACATCAACATCAACATCAACATCAGCAGCATCACCATCATCCTCATCATCACTATCATCATTGTACCCCCCGAAACCCCTCTCACCCTAAATGGCCAGAAGTAGTTTTTTCGAGGATTGTTAGATGACCTGGCAAACTGTTCTGTTGGTCAAGACTCACATCCGTAGTGAACATGGCATGCTTGATAGAGATGCCATATTGCCTCCCGAACCTCCCCGCCCTGCATGGTGAGAAATAAGTCTATTTGCAAGGCTTGTAAGAAGTCTATCACCGTAGCAAGTAACCAGTGTCATGGTGCCCATGCGCAGATCCCCTTCCGTATCCTCGACAGCTGCACCTCTTTGCTGCACGGTGCGTGGGGAATGCGCGCGCATGGGCACAGACGCCGTGTTGTCTATACGGGCAAACGACCATGCCTGCGCGTACTTGCACCCCAAACGTCTCCAAGCTGGTACATTAAGGACACCCAAAAGCCAGATAGGAAACCATAGAAATATTATCCAGGCGATCGTCGCACATTCTACGCATTGTAACTGTAGCTCTCAGATGTGGAAAAACGGACACAATTGTAGAGATCCCTTCCTTGACCGGCTTTTTCATAATATGCATTCCTGCTTTCATATATTCATATTTCCCCACCTGCCAGGTGACGGCCTCTAGATTTTATCAGAGTTGCTTGCTCCTTCTCCTTCTCCTTCTCTCCTTCTTCCCCTTCCTCCTTCTGGTCTTCACCTGCCAGCTCCAGATCTCAGTGGGCACTGCCGGGCCTCAACTGCCTGACCTCACCCGAGCTCCATCTCACTGAGCACCGGACCTCACCACGAGCTCCAGGGTTATTGGGCCTCAACCGCGAGCTCTAGATCTTAGAGGGCACTGCCGGACCTCAACCGCTCAGTGGGCACTGCCGGGCCTCACCACAAGCTCCAGGGCTCAGTGGACCTCAATCTGAGAACGGATGCCGGATTCAGAATGCCAGAATAGAACGTCAGATAGAATGCCAAAAAGAATGCTAGGATGAATGCCAGAAAGCATGCCAGGGTGAATGTCAGATAGAATGGCAGAATAAAACGTCAGATAGGATAGCAGGATAAACTGTCAGAACCAGATACAATGCCAGATAAAATGCCAGAAGAGATGCCGTATAGATTATCAAAGAATGCCAGATAGAATGCCAGAGAAATTTCAGGCTAGATGCCAGAAAGGATGCCAAAGAGAATGTCAGAATAGATGCCAGGGAGAATGCCAGAATAGAATGTCAGAATAGAACGTCAGATAGAATGCCAGAATAGAATGTCAGAAAATATAAGCTGCATGTACTTATGACAAAATAATGCCATTGTGGAGATCACTGGAAGTAAAGTATTTTTGGTGTACATGTGTTCCAAGTCAACCGAAACATGACCCAGCACCCCAGCAGGAACATTTCGGGATTTGACCGGCTTGCTGGCAGCCGTCATCACTCACGAGGGATAGCAGGCATGATAGACAAAGTCAAGAAAGAGATTTGAGAGATCACCCAAGTTCCTGATATGATGTGGGCAGCTGTAAATTCCATGTCTTTCCATGGGTTAAGAACCTGATAGAATCCACAAACCCAAATGCATGTTGTAAATGCTCACGTAGAAGAAGGGTTCGTACTGAACAAAGAAAGCGAACAGGAGATGCTGGATGGCATTAAAAGCCACTCTTGCAGAAGAGTCTTGCTTGACACTCTTCTGGGACACTCTTGCTCGACACTCTTGGGACACTTTTTCACAAATATTTTCCAAATCTACTTTTCACAAGAATTCCAAGAATTACTTTCTGATACTACTTTATACTACAAAGCTTGCACCAAGCAACTCCCAGTACTACTTTGTACTGCAAAGCTTGCACAAGGCACTTCCCAGCACTACCTTGCATGGCAAACCTTGCACAAGCAACCTCCTCTCCATGCTTTCTGAACCGTCGAAGATTTAGAGAGCACAGTCGGCAAGACGTTTGAAACAGGTCTGAAACCACCAAAAAACCACAAAGCACTTCACACTCTCCACTGCACATCACACTCCACGCTCTGCACTCCACACTGTACACTTCACGCTACAAAGCTTGCACAGAGTACTTCCCAGTACATACCACTTTGTACTACAAGGCTTCCACAAAGTACCTCCCGTCTCCCAGTACTGCTTTGTACTGCGAATCTTGCGCAGGGTACTTCCCAGTACTACTTTGTATTACAAACCTTGCAGCAGCTTCCCAGTACTACTTTGAATTACACGGCTTCCACAAAGCGACTCCCAGTACTACTTTGGACTACAAAACTTCCACAAACTACTTCCCAGCACTACTTTGTACTACAAAGCTTGCACAAGGCACTTCCCAGTATTACTTTGCACTACAAACCCTTGCACAAGCAACCTCCCGGTACTAATTTGTACTACATCGCTTGCACGAAATACATTCCGGCACTACTTTGTATTACAAAGCCCGCCAAAAGTATTTCCCAGTACCGCAAAGCTTCCACAAAGTACCTCCCAGGACTACTTTGTACTGCAAAGCTTGCACAAAGTACCTCCCGGCATCTCCCAGTACTACTTTGTACTGCAGGGCTTGCACAAGGCACTTCCCAGCACGCCTTTGTACTACAAACCTTGCACAAGCAACCTTTCTTGCATGCTTTCTGAACTGCCGAAGATTTAGATAGCACGGTCTGCAAGAGGTCTGAAACCACCAAAAAACACACTTCACACTCCACACTGCACGTTCTCCACTCAATATCTCCAAACCTCACCCTCCACTCTTCACAGTTCACGCTCCGCACTCTACACTTCACACTTTACATTTCCCGCATTAGACTCCACACTTCACATTTCACACACTCCACACTTCACACTTCACAGTCTCCACCCCACACTCCACCATTCACCCTCCGAAACTTCGCAGTCTCCACTCCACACTCCACACTCCACAACTCACACGCCATAAACTTCACACTCTCCACCCCACACTCCACACTTCAACTCGACACAGCACAGCCCGCACCCCACACTTCACAGTTCCCGTATCTCATTTCCCACATCACCCTTCCCACTCCACACTTCACGCTTCACATCCACAATTCACACTTCGAACTTCACACTCCACATTTCACGCTTTCCCCTCCATATCTCCACACTTCACACTCCCCACTTCACACTCCACACGTCACAGCCCGCTCCACTCTTCACACTGCACATGTCACACCCCACGCCTCACACTCTCTCCTGATTGCCGCGAAGCCCCGCGCCTGTCACGCGAAATGCACGTTCACAACTTGAAAAAAGTCACCTTTTTGGGAAAATCCTAGAGACACAGCGACGAGACCCTCCACTGCACTTCACACTTCACATTTTCCAACGTCACACTCCACACGTCGCACTAGACAGTCAGACACTCCACACTTCACACTTCACTCTTCACAGTCTCCACTCCACACTTCATGCTCCACACTTCACACTTCACACTTTTCGCCCCACACTTCGCGCTCTCCACTTCACACTTCACACTCCGCACTGCACACTCTTCACTCCATATTTCCACACTTCACACTCCATTCTTCACAGTTCACACTCCGCTTCACAGTTCACACTCCGCTTCGCAGTTCACACCCCGCGCTCCGCACTCCACACTTCACACTTTACATATCCCACATCACTCCACTCTTCACACTGCACATGTCACACTCCCCACCTCCCACTCTCCCCTGCACACTTCGCACTTCACACTCTCCTGAGCGCCCCACGCTTGCCACGCAAAATGCACTCTCGCAACTTCAACAACGTCTCCTTTTTGGCAAATCCTCGAGGCACAGCAACGAGACCCTCCACTGCACATCTCACTCCATCCACGCTTCACACTTCACAATTCACACCCCACATATCACACTCTCCACTCCATATCTCCGCACTTCACACTCCACACTTCACACTCCACAATTCACACTTCACACTTCACATGTCACACTTGAGGCTTCACACTCTCCACTTCACACTTCACGCTCCGCACTGCACACTCTTCATTCCATATCTGCACACTTCACACTCCACACTTCACAGTTCGCACTCCACACTTCACATTTCACATTTCCCGCATCACGCTTCACACTCCACGCCCCACATTTCACACTCTCCACTCCTTATCTCCACACTTCACGCTCTTCACTCCATACCTCCACACTTCACACTCCACACTTCACACTTCACACTCCCCACTTCACACTCCACACTCCACAGTCCGCTCCACTCCTCACACTGCACATGTCACACCCCACGTTTCACACCCTCCACTGCACACTTTCACACTTCACACTTCACACTCTCCTGAGCGCCACGAAGGCCCACGCCTGCCACGCGAAATGCACTTTCACAACTTTAAAAAACGTCACCTTTTTGGGCCAATCCTAGAGATGCGGGGACGAGACTAAATTTTGATGAAATTTTGGCGACAAGCCTCAATGCCACGAAGTCCGACG